ACCACGCTGCAGGGGAAATTCCGGGGCTGCTTCCTTTTCCTATTGCTCCTGTTCTCTGACCGAGTGTCTGTGTGGCCATCTCTCTCAAAATCTTGCTTCTCTCTGCCGCAGGTCTTCATTGGCTCCCGGGAAAATGGACTCTTGGGTGAGCCATGGTGGAGGCTTGGGCTGCGGCAGGTCGGTTCGCAGAAGGGGCGGGCGGCTGGGCAGCTGGAGTGGCCCGCCCGAGCTGGGTCCTGCCTGGGGCCGTGCCAGCACCATTGTTCTGTGCCCTCTCTTCAATATGTTATTCGCAGAGGCGCCGATTGGCTCAGCCCTTGCCTGGGGTGGGTCCAGCCTGAAGCTGGGGAAACTTCCAGCAGTTTCTCACAGGGGCTAGGTCAGTGGTACTCCTTCCCCCACTTCCCCCCACCAGCTGCTGAAACCTTGGAGCCGGAGGTGGGGTGAACCCTTAGCAGTTACTTACAGGAGCCACCACTGCAGCCCCTCCCTTGCTGCCAGAGCAGACTCAGAGCTGGGGGAACTCTCAGCAGTTACTTACAGGAGCCACCACTGCAGCCTTTCCCTTGCTGCCAGCAGAGCTGGAGTCCAGGGAAACCTTTAGCAGCTGCTTACAGGAGCCATTACTGTGGCCCCTCCGTGCTACCAGACAAAACCCACCACACAAAACCACAACACTGTGGAAGCGAAGCTGAGGTTTTGTATCAATGAGGAAAAGTTGGGTTTGAGACTGGCTTTTAAAACAGTTGAGTTTCCCACTTTCCTTGAAGGAGTTTAAGTGTGAGAGTGGGTTAAGATGCAAAAGCAGAAGTAGCCAAAGCCTTTCTTTTCTGAGGAAGCTTTTTGAGGACATCCACTGAGAAATCCTCTGACAGTGCAAAACCTGAAAATGCTTACCATCATTAAAATGACTATTAAATACTATACTTACCATCTGAATTAGGGTTGTGTCTATGACTTTGCCCCATTGTACATCTGTACCTGCAGTGGAAGCATACTTCTCACTGGGGGTTACAAATCTAAGCTTTTTCTGTCAGGTCTTGTAAATCTATTTTGGATAAAGAGGGCTTCTCTTTGAAGCTAAGAATAACTATAGAAAATGCTCCAGCTGTGGAGCAGAGATGAATTAGTGATGTACTACCCTGACCCTTGAGAAGATGAAGAGCTTATTACTTCAGGTTTTAGCTGTATGACCTTGGTGGTTTTTTTATTCAGCAAACTGCAACTAATGAATCCTCTTATGCACTGTATTTATGATTTCCTGAACCACAGGAGTAGTGAGAAATCACTAAATTTGCAGATGTTAAGATTGCTCTCAGAGCTCCATTTCTCCTTCTTTATCTTGCCTAGAGATTCACATAATCCTCATTAACATGCAGGCAGATGTTCTTCCTTTGGGACAGTTACACAAGTCTTCTGAAGTGAAACTGGGAAACAGTCTTTCCCAGTCTGTAACTGTATTCCCATCAGACTGCCTGGCCCATTCAGCCTGGCTTCAGAGAAGCTCTCCGGCACCGTTGTGACTTGTTTATGAGAAGGTGTCCCTAGACACTCCCATTCTGCTTTTGCAGACATCAGTATCCATAGTAGTTGCACACAGCTCAACCTCCCTCTTTAAAAACTTGGTAACAACAAGGAAGAGTAACGATATGTCTGGCTGTGGTGAAGGATTTATTTGCATCAACAGCCACTTTAGCTGCTGGAATTAAGATGCTTGCGTCACTTGCCTGTACAAGCACTGCCTCCGGTGTCTCAGTCACAGCCCTCCAGTGTGAATACCTTGGGTATGCCTGGTAATTGAAGTGCCTTCTAGCACATTGCTACCTGTAGCTGGAACAACTCCAAGGTCTCCAGCTGTTTTGCATCTGTTTGTAACAATGACTCCATGAAGCAGAAATGACCCAAGGTGGCTCTTTGCAGGAGCCCTGAAGCCCTACCAGGAAGAGCTCTGATGCGATGCACTATTGGGAAGGTTATGTTGCAAGTCTGATCCCAAGTTGAAGTATAGGTTCCTGCAGAAGCTGTCTGGTAAGCAGGAGCTCCAGTTTTACAGTGCCTGCAGTTTGGAGGTTTTCAGAAATTCTTGGCTAGCTCAGTTCTTGCATTACACTTAAGGCGTGAAGGAGGGTTTCTAAACACAGCTAAGCTTCATGATGTAAGCAGAAGTGTGACAAAAGATCTCTTCTAAAAGTGTATGCTTTGTCCTTAGTAGGAACCTAAGTAGAATGTAAGACAACGAGATTTAAAAGGAAAAAAAGAAAAAAGAAAAGAAACATGCTGTGACTATTTTATCTCAGATTACTGAGGAAGAATTAATCTCAGTTCTAGCTATATAGGTGTGTGGTAGAAAAAGCAATAACTAAGTCAGACCCATTACTAATGAGGGTAGAAACACAGACCTTTTTTAGGGCATGATCTGTCTTTCTAGTGTCGGCACAGGATTCAGATAGTAGCTGTCTATTTTGAGAACATGTAGTTGGGAGTGGAATACATCTAATTCTATTGTCTGTAGCGTCTGGATATCAGACATTTGTTTTTTATCACCGGTCTTTCACGTCTCTGTAAGGTCCAGTCCTATCATCCAGCCAAAAATGTTTGCTCCGGTTTTCTTGGGTATGAGTTCTTTCCCCATCACAAACAGAAGTGTTAATGAGGCCTCACTTTACATGGGGAATGGCAAAGCACATCCAAATCCGTGACATTAAGCACATACTTTTAATCAGTTCCAATTGGGGCATGCCAGGTGCCTAAGAGCAGTATTTAAATTTGAAGCAACATTAATTGTACTCTTCTTTTTTTTTTTTTTTTTTGATATAACCCCAGCTGACCTGAGTCCTGTTATCTTCCTCTCTAATTTGAAGCAGGGCTCTGCTTTGCTGTTTTTAGACTTGAATTCTTGTCCCAGCTTTGTAATTGCCTTTCATTTAGCCTTAGATACAGTTGCAAATCCTTACCTTACTATAATGATCCAATCTACTTCAGAGTATAATACCCTTAAAAAATATGAAATCCACACGCACAGAAGATTTGTTAAAGCAAAAAAACCCCAAAAACCAAAAAAAACCCCCAAAAAACCAAAAAAAAACCCCCACAAAAAACAACCAAACAGGGCAACAGATCCGAACCGCCAGCTTGTGTCTTCCCTGGCACTGATCTGGCACTTTGATGCATCAGTTCATTTACTAACACAGTAGAGCAGCCTTCTTGCACCACCTCGGTGCTTATCTGTCTATATAACAATCTAATTCAAACTGCAAACTGCCAGAAAAATATATTCCCTTTTTTTACTGGATTAGTGTTTTGCCTGAATTTATGCTGACAATTAGATTTGGTAGTCAGAATGGTGCCAGAGCTGAGATAAGGCAGGAGGGTCATGCAATGAAGTACTGAAACAGCTGGGAATGGGTCAGGGAACTGAAAGAGAGGGGAGAAGGTCAGTGGATGATATTCTAATTATCAGCAAATCATTCAATCATCTCTGGCTGTATTCTCAAATTATGCCCTGAGGGAAACTGGGAAGAGCTCCTGTCTGCATCCCTCTCAGTGGAAGTTGCCCTCATGAGTTTTAATACAGGGAATTCTGTCCTGCTGGCATGTACTTTCCTTGAGGCTGGTATTTGTTTCTTAGTTCTGTTTTCTTTCTCTCAGCACTTAGTAAGATCTAATTTTACTGATGACTGATTTAGTTCTACCAACTCCCGACTTCAGCAAAATAATTTTCTGCTGATTTCCACCTAGAACTAAATACTCCTCTCCCCTCCTCCTTTCTTTTTTTTTTTTTTTTTAAATCAGTGGATGAAAAAAAGTGAAGTTTGACCCAAATTATGAAATGTTGCTAAGATAAAAAATTAACAGAATGAGAAAATCCAGAAGTTCTGGTTTGGCTTGAATGAGATGATTACATTTGACCTAAAAATGGAAGGGTGATTTTAACTTTTGGGCTCCTGAGCAATTTTTGGCACTTGATTTAATCTTGAAATGTAAAGTGCTTCACTTGAACAAAACAAACAAAAAAACCCCTGCAACTTTTGTTTCTATTAGTCAATGGGGTTGAAATAGCTACCTGAATTCAACAAAAATAAATCACAATAATTTTGGTATCCATAAAGCTGAATCTATTTAGGGCTGGTATGAGTGGGAGGTTCTGTGGGAACACGTAGGATTAATGTATACATGCTTAAAACAGAGTTTTTGCTTAATTGGTAAGGAAGGAACATGGTTGATGGTAAGTAAAACTTGCTGGATTTAAAGCTGAAATTCTCTCACAACTGAATCGGTAAATGGTATTTTCCTTATCCCTGTGTTTTCTTGGTTCCAGATAGAATAGCTCTCTAGTAAGCTGTTCTTGTGGTGATTTAAATTAAAGTGCTAAGGCTTCCAAGATGCTTCTGGCCTACAAATACTCCCTGAATGTGAAGTTTTGCCATGAAGTAGTTCAATCTCATTCTTGCTTCTCTTTCCATTGTACAGCAGTTTGAGCAGGTATTAGCAAGGTCATTTATTTTAAATTAAATTTCAACAATCCATTTCTGTTACCTTTGCTGTCTATTGTGCATTAAAAATATGAAGTAATTTCTGTGATTAGGAAAAGCTTACTTTGTGGACTGTTGTCCTTGTCTATCAATGCTGGTTGACCAATGGGTTGGTAAGCAAAAGGAAGGGAAGATGCAAAAGAATAACTTCTGCTACTCTTGTTCTTTCAGGCACATGTATGACCATGCTGCAAATATGTATCCGCAGTTAATTAAGAATCCCATCGTTCGAACTGAAGTTCAGAATTTTATGGCGTATGTATTTAGTTATTACAAAATAAATTATTCAAGACTTGGGGTTGGAGGGTGACAGAATTTTTGAGGGTTTTTTATTCTCTTCCTTATGGGCTAAAGAAATTATATGTTTCCTTTCTCTCATACTGAATGCCATTAGTATGAAAAAAAAAAGTTCTAAACATACATGAAGAACGGCATATGCCCTTCCCTAATTCTGATTCTTTCAAAGAAACGTTTAAAACTGTTGCTACAAAGGGGTGTGGATAATGCCAATGAATTCTGAATGTCATTCTAGTCAAAATCATTTTCTAAAAAGCTGGTATTTTGAATGTTTCATGGAACAGTGTGGCCTCTTGGCACTTTTAATCTTTCTAGCACTTTGTAGCCTTTCCTTCCTCTGTTAGGTTAGCTCTTTGTTTATTCTACCGCTGACGTAAATTCTCTTCTAATCACAAAAGTTGTGATTCCCTTTTCTCTTCAGCTGTATAAATCAAAAGTAATTCTGTTCAAATAATGCAGCTACACTGATGGGAAACTACAAGTGGGAGAAGAACCAGGCCAGGTACTGGGAGACTCAGCTGTGATTACTGCTTATTTAAATCTCCTTAGACTTATGTTTTTTTCCATTAAAAATACTTCTGTGAAACTTCAGTCATTTCTGGAGACTATTTTTCCATCTTTCCCTCGTCTTGTGTTTTCAACAAGGGGTTATATATCTGATCTGTTACTGGTGCACATATATAAAGTTGATTAATTTCAGCTTATCCAAAAAGAAGAGCAAAAAGATCTTAGTGCTCCCTTACTATCATTCTTCAGCATTGCTGTCCTCCTTGTGAGAAAAAATGGGCTAGCTACCATATCCATGTGTATGGGTTTTTTTCCAGAATGACTCAGCATAGCAGCTGTATCCCCCAAGATGCATTGTTGGAGGATGGAGGAACTACTAAGTGGCCTTGTACAATTTTTCTGTTGCCTATATGCTGGGCTTTACTTAATAGCAGTCTTGCAAAATGGGCTGCTGTGTTGTCTTGGAAGACTTTAGCCCTGAATGCTCTGACTGTATCCCCGTTTTCTCTGACATACTTCTTCCATCTTGTTACTTTCAGAAGGCTACATCTGGCTGGTTTTGTCACTCATAGTCTGCTGGAAGCATTTGCTTCCTTGCCAGGTTCATTTTCTCTTTTTTTGCTGCCATAGATAATAAATAGATGGATAGATACAGAAGGATGGCAGAGGTGAGAATCTGGTCCTGACTTAGTCTAACAGCTGTGGTTCTTCTGTGGCCCGTTGTGCACAGCAAAGGAGGGAACTCTGGGAGATCCTTATAATGTTGGCTGCTCTTGCCATAGGGTCTGTTCAGCTTGTGTTGCCTCATGCTCTAAACCCTGGGTTATTTGGCTAGTAACCTCTTGATTGGATTTCGCACATGGGATGGTTGTGCTTGTCCTCCCACCTTTTCCTCAGAGGAGCATAGCAGTGGCTCTTAGGCAGTGTTTGAGCAGCAGCAACAGCACGCCTTCATTGCACTTGCACATAGGGGAGAGAAATGGACTCTTCAAAGGTCAGTCTATTTTATCCTGAAATAGGCATTTAAAAGGGAATGGTTCATCTGACCTATCAAATGCTTGTTTCCCTTTACTGACCATAAGGGGATGCTATATCTGATGTATCTGAGTCCCCCACAGAGGTGGAGTCCAACTCTTGCTTTGATAGTACAGTCTGGTAGAGGCACACTGCTGTAGGGTATGTTGCATGGATCTGAACATTCACACCCAGAGGATATAACTTCTATGTTTGCAGGATTTCCAAAGCATGATTTGCCTCAAAACACTAGGAAGATTGGATCATCTGGGTCATAAAACATTTGTCCCTTCACTGCATTATCAGTTATACTCTAAAACAAAAACAAGAAACCCCCAACCTGTTTGTTCCTCTGCAGGAAACAAGATCAATGGACAAGACAACAAATCAGAAATAATAAGGATGACCCCTTTTGGAGGCATGCTGGCTATATTATTGCACAGTTGGATGGTCTGTACATGGGAGCCCTCGAGTGGGCTAAGCTACACAAGCAAACAGTAAGATTACTGCATCTCTTTTTCAGTAGCTGGGGATGGGATGTCAGAGGACAAAGATGGGAGAAGAGAATCTGATATTAAAAAAAAAAAACCAAACAGGAGGATGATTAGTAGCAAGTACTCATCCTGCACACCATTCTACAAAACCTTCAGTGACTGTTCAGTGTTGCTTATGGGACTGAGCACTTAGGTCACGTCACCACAGATTGCTTGCACTGGACTTGGAACCCTTGGCCCTCATGTGCTGATTAGATTGGGTGTGGCTCTTGTATCCACATGTGAATGTTGGAAGGACAGATAATTCTAAAGTGCTTGCTGTTGTCACTTTGCTATTGTTATTGAGCAAATGACCCTCTAGGTATAAAGAGTAGCTGCAACAGCATGAATCAGCACATAGGGAATGTATTAAAGCTTTCATTCTTATTTCCAGGCACCAGATTTCAAATCTTAAAAGCCTCTCTATTTTGGAGTATGCTTTATGTTGCTAAATGTCTTCTCCTTTTCTGTCTTTTAAGTCTTCCTTTACAAAATACATGGTCAGTGCTGCAGCAGACCAAATGGAGTATGGTGGGGTTTTTTTGTGTTTTTTTTTTTTTCAATTATAAGTGTTCCAGATCATCAGCTTGTGTGCAACAGCAGAGCTCCTTTATCTCCAGTAGAGCGGTCGTAATTAACAATGCTGTCTTGAAGTCTAATGTCTAATAGGTTTCTCAAGGTGAGAGGGAAGACTTGAGTAATTGTAGTTGACCCCTTTTTGTCTTGGTTTAACCACATCAAGAATTTAGAGGAGGTGGGAGTGCTAAATAATAAACAGTTGGGTTTTAGTAAAATGCACATCTTTCTTGCATAAAACTTGCTCTGGGGCTTTCATGAATGGGGAATTGGCTCCAACTAAAGGAAAAGACTGTTCACAGTAATGGAAAGATCCATCATGATGGCCCTGAGTTATAGGGAAGATACTAAGAAACCTTGACTTTCTAGGAAGATAACTCATTAATTCCCTTTCATAACACCTCTATGTGAAGAGCCCTGCAAAGCTCGTCAATTTTCTTGGCTGCTTCAGAATCCTTTAGATTCAGATGGGGGGAGAGGAAAGTGCTAGTTTGTGCCTGAGCTATTTCTCTATAGTAAGCATGTTGTACCTGCAATGTGCATTCCCTGATACTTATTTAACTGTGTATTTGATACTAAAAAGCACTGACCTCTGAAGTGACAGAGTCATTCTTAATCCTCTTTTCAAATATCTCACCAGCATGCCTATATAAAAATGGTGTATTTAGTGAAAGTTCAGATATGTGGTTGAGTCTGAAATATCTACATCCTCCATTTTTTTTAATTCAGTGCAGTGGATATATATAGTTCTTTTCCCAAATGTGCCTGGAGCAGATAGTGGGATTTATTTCAACTCACTTCCATGCCATTCACAATTTTAGCTTTTGGCATTGTCACCTATGTTGGGATCCATGTATTTTTATTAAAAGCAAAAATTTTCCCCATGTATGTATTTCTCACTTGAGATGGTGCTGCAGGTACCTCTGTTTGCCAGGACCAGTAAGTTAACATTGGTCTCTTACCTTTGAGTACAGTTTGGACAGCTGTTTTTGCACCTACAGGTTTGGTTTTCCTTGGCATCTACATGATACCTGACAGCTCTGCAAAAGTACGTGCAGTTCACTTTGTTGGATACCATGCTACTTTTCAAATGCTTTTGGGAGATTAGGCTACAACAGGGCTATTCGTGTACGTATTTACTGCTGTTAGGATCCCCTTCAAGAAATGAAGAGCTTGAAGAGTGTTTCTCTGAGCTTACATAAACAATAAAAACAGGTGCCGATACCATGTTACTGACTGGTATTCTACTGACACATCCACTTATTTGAGAATCAACCCAGTTTCTGTAAACTGTCTCTTAAAAAAACAAGCTAAACTAACCGACAAAACTAAACCCTTGAGAAGACCAACAGTATCTTCCTTATTCCTTGTGATTAAATAACTTCTGCCCTCCAAAGCAGCTGTTTTCAACTTTGCTCTTGCAGTACATATTATAAGAATGTTAAAGGTTCTTTTTATTTAATTCCTTAGATTGTTAGTAAGTAGCATGTTTGGCAAATAAATTCACCTGATAAGTGATTTTTTTCCTTATTTTTAAGTATTATACTTCAGTTCAATTAATTCAATGTTGTTTTGATTTTTCTTTGGGCAACAACTGCAATAACAAGTATTTACTATTTCCGTTACTCATTTCTCACCTTAAAAAATAATTGACGTTGTTACGGAAAGCCCCCACAACAAATCCTGCACATTTTTAAAAGCAAATGTCATTCCTATTGCATGTTTTCCTTAGTGCTTTGAGAGTCTCTTCCTCCATCTTTCTTTTGATAGTGTCCTGGGTTAAGCAGAGATAGAGTTAACTTTTTTCATAAGAGCTAGCAAGAGGCTGTGTTTTGGATTAGTGCTCAGAAGAAGGTTGATAAGGAAGGAATGTTTATATTGTTCCCAGGATATTCAAGGTCGTTCAGCCTCTTCGCTCTTCACAGACAGGGCGGGGGGGCTGGGAGGGCACAGCCCCAGCTACTAGCCCAGGATTTGTTCTTCGGTTACTAGATTGAGAACCAGAGTGACCAATAATCTATTCCATAACATACACGTCATGCCCAGTATATAGGTGAGGACCTTTCCTGAGGATCGGCCCTTCGCTTTTTGGTTCCGGTGCCTTTCTGTTTCGGATCTCTCTTCTGGCTCTGGATCACTCTCCCAAGGCCTTTCCCTCCTCCCCCCCCACGCCCCGGTGGGCTCTTGGTCTGGGATGCTCGGACTGTTTCCTCGGTTCTGTGAGTGTGGTGTTTTGGGACCCTCCCCCATACTCCGGAAGGCTTCGGGACCCCTCCCTGCTCTGGGGTTGACTCCCCCTGTTCCGGGATCGTTAGCCGGGAACAGGCTGAGTCTTTATCATTGTGTGGGGGGGCAGTATCACTGTGTATCACTCAGACTCTCCCTTCTCCGGGATCATTAGCCGGAACGGGCTGAGCCTTTGGTCATCGCATGGGGGGAGGGGGGCAGTATCACTGTGTATCACTCATTTGTATATTTGTATATAGTATTATTTTCAATATTATTGTAGTTTAGTTATTAAATTGTCCTTATCTCAACCCACGAGTCCTTTTTTCCATTTACCCCTTTAACTCTCTCCCCTGTCCTTAGGTGGGGGCGGGAGTTGTGTGAGCAGGTGTGTGTGGTTTGGCCCCCAGCCAAGGGCTAACCTGTCACAGATAGATAGTACTTTTGTTTCATTAAAAAAAATCCTTTCTGTGTATCATTTTAGGATTATTATCATCAGGAACAAGTTTATCTCTTGATCTCTAGTGGTGCAGTAGTTTGCATTAATGGTGGTAATGAACATTAGAAATACTGAGAATTTCTCGTGTGTGAGTTGTGTGGTGTTTTTATTTTCTTTTTTTTATCCTCCTATCCCCCCAGAAAAGCCAACCCCAAACTCCCAAAACTGAACCAAAGCCCAACACCTTACGAGCTGTATTTTGTTGCCTTATATTCTGACTGCTATTGTGAAAAACTATGCATACTTCTAAATACAACTTATTACTCTGTAATTACTCTCTATGCGCAGAGGGCAAATTTTCCCTAGTGTCCTAAGCTTAAAAGAAGGCTAAACACTGCAAAAGAAAGAAGGAAAAGCAGGACTTCTCAGCCTAACTCATGAAAGATCAGAGACTTGGGGAAGAGAAAGAGAGGAGGAGATGGATTTCAGAGTTCTTGCATTCCCTCCCTGCCACAACGAATGCTTGTACATGGACAAAGTGCTCTCCTGAACACTGAGAAGCTGGTTGATTAACAAGGATAGGTCAAAAGATGGAGAAAAGGGACTGTGTTTACCAAGTATGTGGATTTCAACATTGAGCACTGGGCAAAGTTGAACAAAATTGTTCCCTTTTTGGGAGAATGGAAACAAGATGTATCAATAGCTAATCTGCTTTTAATCTTGCACATTTCATCTGTCAAGGTTTCTTCTTAGCACTACATGTACCTTTTCAGACTTGCAGGCAGTTGGAGTTTTACATTTTGTGGATTAGTTGATGTGCACTTACTTGAGGAAGACAAATCAAAAGATGTGACTTTCCATTGTCCTGTACAATGCATGGTAGTTCGAAGCTATGCCAAATCTATGTAGTGCTTAAATGAGATTTGAATTATGTGCACACAGACCACTCTGAGATGTTCCATTTTTCTTTTCTTCCCTGAACTTGGAATCATAGATGGTTTGGGTTGGAAGGGACCTTAGAGATCATCAAGTCCCAACCTCCCTGCTATGGGCAGGGACACCTCCCACTAGCCCAGGTTGCTCAAAGCCTCATCCAGCCTGGCCCTGAACACCTCCAGGGATGGGGCATCCACAACTTCTCTGGGCAACCTGTTCCAGTGCCTCACCAGCCTCACAGGGAAAAATTTCTTCAGGTCTGCTTCACCTGAATATTGTAGAACTGTTGTGTCTGCCACAAATAAATGAGCCTTACTATAGAAAGAAAATTTGGTGTCGACTCTGAACTGTTTGATAGCAGTACTAGTACATTTTTTTTTTTATTCCTATATGTATGAAGCATATGCTTTGTAGTGTACTGTTCTAAGCTTTTTTTAATTGCATAACGTCTGTCCTGCAGGGCTGTTTAGGTGCTTCTATTGAGACTCGCATGAAAGCTATATATATTAAATTTCTGTATTTTGAATTTGATATTTACAGGTTTCATTATGAATGATGTAAATATCTGAATACATTTTCATGTTAAAGTGTGACACTATTCCATCTGGTTTAGCAACATTTTATATCCAGTAAACAAGCCCAACCCTTTTGTCAAGACAATTTCTGAAGGAGGGGCACTCAAAGAACATTAAGCCTTTTCATCTGCCTAGTACTCTACCAACGCTGTGATTAATCTTGGGCTTGTCTGCACGGGAAATTACTCTTGAATAAGGAAGTGTCAGAGTTTTAGGTAGTACAATGATTCTAGGATAGCTCTCTACTTGTACTTCCTTATTTTTTATTGCAAATGTGCATGCATGGGGAAGTTACTGGAAAACAATTGTTACAGAATAATGTCTATTTCAATGTCCTATGTAGATAAGCCTTTAAGGCTGGTTCTCTCCTGTCTAATCCCCTTTCTAAGTTTATTTCTCCTTATAGCTAATGTAACTCAACCTCAATTGAGTACTTAACAGCCTAGTTCCTCTTTTACCTCTCTGATATTTTGGCTGGCTTTGGGAGCTGGCAGTGTAATCACACCCAGTGGAGCCCTAAGAATTTACATTACCTTTGCTTCTTTGTTTGAGTGGGTCTTTCCTCCTGCTTTCTGGCCATCTTTCTGCGTGTAGAGTTCCGATAGCTCACTTGCCTGGTGCTTTTGTTCTAGCTTGAATGGACTTCCTAGTAGTTACTGAATTTTTGACTTGAAATGACTGTAAGATGACATGGAAGAGTGAAACTTAAGATAACAGGCAATTCCAAGTGATGCTGCAGTGGTATGAGTGTAGCTACCTGTAGATGTTGCATTGAGGGCAGGTTTTATGGAGCAGAATGTGTACTTGCCAAATGGAGAGCAAGTAAAATTAAAATGTCTCAGGGCTGGTTGAGCATTCTCACATATAGCCCTGTTTGCTCCCCTCCTGGTGGTACTGTACAGTAGTGCCTGTGTAAATTGGACATTGGAAAACAGCTTCTCCTCATTGTGTGGTGGGCTTGCAGACCTTTAAGTGCAGCTGAATGGTGAAAAATTGTGCTGAAACAGTGTAAAGTCTCTTCTATATGGATTCCAGTGAGACTGCAGTTTTTGGGGCTTATTTGTAAATGTTTCATACTACTGAGTTGCTTGAAACTATCCAAAGATACATCTCTTGATGTTTATCAGTTGTGGCCTTTTGCTGCTCCCTGTCTGTGTCCTTACAGCAAAACCGTGATGAGCTAAAGCAACGTAGCATATGTGAGAGTTTGCTTTGGATTTCCTCAAACTATAGCTGCTGTTAGGGCCTTCTGTGATGCATGGTTGTGAGAATGGCTTATTTCTCTCACTTGTCTTGGTAAGCATTGTGGGAAAGTTTAATTCCTTCCTATGGGTTATATAGGCTAGAGTCTACATTATTTTTTGTTTTCCTGTTGGTTATTCTCTCTGCCAAAACAGCAGATGGATAATATAGAATTCGGCCTTCTGAATAAAAAGTAAATGGATTTGGCACTGTTTATTTTTTCCATGTCTCCCCTTTATAGGGGTTTGTAGAAAGGTCAGCTAATGGTTTAATAATAGTGACTTATATTGCAAGCAATGTGTTTCTTTGCTATATGATTACGTCTCATTCTAAAATTACAGTTCATAGCCCTACAGTGATGTGTGTTCTGACTTCTTTTCCTTAAGCCTTTCTTTAACGAAAGGTGTGGTGCAAGCAAGAGCAGGAAAGATTTAGAAAATGGTCTTTGAAGGTTGAGGTTAGACCACTGTTAAGTTTTTATGTTTGAAGAGGCAAATTAAGAAAAGGTTCTAAAGAGCATGCTGCAGAACAAGCTGTGTGTAGTTAACCCTGGCTAGCTCTAAGGATAAGGGGTTTTTGCAAGCATGTAGCATAGTGGGGTGCCTTTTGTCCGACTTCCTCACTTCAGCTAGTTCCGGACTTCATTAGTATTGTTAATATATCTTGCTTCCCTTGTTTGTTTCCTGCTCCTCAGTCCTGGGGATGTCTTAAATTGCAGTCTTTATAAAAATCTGGAAAATCCCAAGAGTGTTTGTTAATGTAAGGCTCTTCAAAGGCATCTAGATGAACAAAAATAATTTGAAATTTTACTATTACCCCAGCATAACAGTGACAGCAGACTGATTGGTGTGCTGTTTTCAAAGACACACAAAAGTTTTCTCAGTTACTGCTAGCATCTCCTTTTTTTCCTCAGAAATGTTATCCTTGATAATGCCACTGCAAGGGCCAGACCCTTAAAGATACCTAGGTGCCTAATTTGACAGGGAGTTTGAGCATCTGGGCCTTGTGAGCAGCTATTTCATAGACCATATAAGAGCTTCCTTTGTGAGCAAAAGAAAATTTCTAACAGCTGAGACTGTCTTGATGCTTCTCTGTCTGAAAATGCTTTTTGTGGTCTCTCTTTTCTGCCTTTCCTCAGCCACTGAGTATGTTTGATGTCCAATTTCTGAATGCAGTTGGAGACCTGTTGGACCTCATTCCTGCATTGTTTGAGTATTCTGCACGGAGTGGACAATGCAATGTGGAGCCAGGAGGCCATGGGAAATATCAATGGGATATGGGTCATTGCTCTGCACTCATCAAGGTGAGCACCAAGAACTTCATCTTCAGTGACTGTGTTGATTTGCAATGTCATGAGTCTGCATTTCTGGAGTCTTCACTGTTTCAGCTGAATGTGTGTAAAGAGACTCCTGTCAATCAGGGTGCTTTATGCAGTTGTCATTTGTGCCTCCGTAGGATTTTGGGTCCAGTTTTGCTCACTTGTGTTCAAGGGCAGGGAAAAAACCAAACCAAAACCAAACCACAGATTGACTATGAAAAGCTGCTAGAATTACTAGGCAATGGAGAACTACTATGGAGAGGAGACTGGAAGAGGGTAACTTGTTTCACCTAGCCAAGTGAAGTCTGAAAGGGGGTATTGTGACTGTCTACAAACACACTGGGCAAAAAAAGCAGGGAGGAAGGGAAAGGATTACTTAAACTAGAGGACAGTGCAAGCACAACAACAAATGGGTGCAAGTGACTGATGTTTTCTAAGTAATAACAGTGACACTCTGGAACAGCTTTCCAATGGGAGTAATGGCAGAAATAAATGCTTTTAAGGTAAATTTCTTATCTATCATGATGGCAATTAATTTTTTTCAGTTAAAACTGTCAAAGATCGAGTCAGCATATGGAGACTGCATGTATCCCAGAGCAATGATATTCACCTTAAATTGAGAAGCAGTCATTCAAGCGTTTGCTTACAGCAAGAGGTTTCTGAGCTAACAACAAATCTTAGGACAAAGGAAATAACTTTGAAAAGATGTACTATCAATATATATTTACCATTTCAAAATGAATTTACTTGTATTTGCTTTCATACTTTAAAGTAACCCAGAGGCGTTTTCACAGAAACAGGATGTTCTAAGTTAATGTTGGATATATTTGCAGAGAGCTGATCTGAATGTGTAAGTACAAGTATTCAAGAGGAAACCGGGGGAAAAAAACATACCATGTGATGCAGGTGTCACAAAAAATCCTAAGCTGTTTCATTTTGAAAAATAACAATTAATTGTGTGAAAATAATACATGGGCAAGAATTATTTCCAGAGGTTTCAGAAATTCATTAAGTACACAGGTTAAAAGCACAAAAATCTACTCCTTGAAAAATGCAATTAATCAAACTACTTAAAACAACTTGTTCTCCCAGTTTCTATCAAGTACAAAACATGTAGAATATAGTAGGGTCTGCAATTATTAATCTTTCTGCTTCTGTTTTCCAGGTTCTACCTGGATATGAAAATATCTATTTTGCCCATTCTAGCTGGTTTACATATGCAGCCACACTGAGAATATATAAGCATTGGAACTTCAATATAGCTGATCCAGACACCAGCACTGGCCGTGTCTCATTCAGCAGTTACCCAGGTAAAGTCAAGAAACCCAAAACCCGAAACCCAAACCAATGCAGATATCCAAGGTGGCATGGGCCATCTTACTGTCTTGCAGATGTCTTTTCTATAAAAACAATGATACCTCAACAAGCACTGGCTTCAATCTACCTTAAAACTTTCAGCCACAGAGAGGATAAAACATAATCTTCAGTTTTCTGGCTTGTTGTTGTTGTCTTTTGTTGTTGATTAATCACCTTCAGTACTCTGAATAGTACTAGTTAAATTTTCTACCTCTGTCACAAACATACTGCTTTGAATTCTGCTGGTGTAGTCTGCAGTCATCTCAGCTGTTGAACTTCTCACCTTGCCTAAAGCATTCGCATGTTTGATAATAACAGTTTTGAACACTTCTGTTTACCGCTGCAGCATGACTCCTGTTGTAATGGGATTGTTAGAGAGTATCAAACACTTAGCCATTTGAAATTGTATAGACTTCTTTGGTGTTGGGTTAGCAAACTTTAAGTTGTCATTCCCCCTCCACCATCTCCCTCTTACAGCTTCTCTAGAAGCTGTTGCAGAGGGAAGTATTTTTTATACTTGCTTTGTGTGTTAGTAATATAGCCAGCCAGAATATTTAAAACCTCCCTTGGGAAGATTAGGCAGCATATAATAGTCTCAAGTTTCCTGGAGGAATGTTAGAGATTGCCAGCAGTTAATGTTTCAGTGTACTCTGCTACAGTAGCACCAAGAAATGTGAACATGAAAACCCAAAGCAAACCTGTGACTCTATGAGTAGGCATTGCATAAGTTTTTAGAGGTGGAATTTCAAATTAAAAAATGCCCACACACTCAAGAATCTTCATAAACTTTTTAAAGTGAAGTATGTGTCATAGGGAGACTCTCTGATTCTGAGGAAATGTTGTTGGTTGAAGATTTCAAAATGTGCTTTGTGAATTCCTGTGCTTGCCTTACTACAAAGGCAAGGGTCCTTCATGGCAGGGACTCCTGAGACTGTGACTGGGAAACTGTGTTGAAAACCAGCTGCGTTCATTTCATGTTGAAAGCAATTTTTTTTTTTTTCATGTGCGGTTCTCACCCTCCTTAGTGACTCTCAGGAATGCAGCATTTTCTGGCAACTGAGTTTTTTGCTTTGAGGAAGGAGTAGAGGTATTGTGGAAAATGCCTAAGTGTGCAGCCTTTCAAGAGTTTGGGTTTATCTCCGATTCCCTTGGAGGAATTTCACTTGCTTGTTGCAAGGAATTTTGCCAAGCTCATGTAACCTAGTAGAAAGTCAAGGTTTCTGTCTGAGCTCTGTTCATCAGCAGAATGCATAGACTGTTATTCTGGATCTCGTATCTCTCGGCAGAAATACTGTTGGGGATAGTACTATCCTTCAGGAGAATGTGTCTCTGTTCAGCAACTGTTGCATGCTGCATTGTGCTGCAGATTCAAACTGGGGATCAGGATCAGCCCTGCAGAGCATTTATTATATTATTATTAGTGATTACAGCATTTATTTTAGTGATTACAGTTATTATTTTATTTTTATGGTGATGGCTCTGGGATCCTTTTGTGCACTCTTAGGATAAAGTGAAATACAAATCTTCTGTTTTGATGAGACTGATAAAGCACTCTGTATGGGAGGATACCTGAAAACCAGCTAATACTACGCTAAAATGGTCAAGGTCTGTTCACTAGTGTACGAAATCCCAGTGCACTTCCCTGAGACTGTTGAGGTCTGCAGAGATGGCTCATTGAAAAGGTTGCTTGTGCCAGGTAGGCTTTGACGCGGTAATGTGGTAAGGTGCACTTCTACCAACAAAACTGAGTTAGAACTGTTGCAAAACCTAGTTCCTATGGGTACAGTGGTATGCACAGTGCACTCACTGGCCGCCTAATTACAGGATGCAATCACAAGCACTAGGCAAGCACGAACCATTGACTACAGCAAATTGCATTAGCTCTGGGTGTAGTTCACAAACTTGCAGTTTTCCAGGGGATGAGTAAGCTCTGAAGCACTGGCCTGGTAATGATTTAGGGACATCATGCCAGAAGGAAGGAACTGCCAAATTCCTCTGCTCCATGTTGTGATGAGATGAAGTCTTATATTTTCAGGGGATCTGACCAAGGAATCTGCAGGTCCTGGCCACAGTTCAACTTGACAACTGTAACTTCTCCCTGCATGCAAGTTCCAACTCTCACTCTCTGTCCTGATAGTCCATAAGAACCAGTAAGAAAGGCCAAGCTAGTAAGCTCTCCTGAATAGTATAGTAACATGATCCTAATATACATAGAAGTATTGACTTTTAGAGGAAACAAAATGCATTAAAAGATCAGTATCCTTCCAGGCCTTCAGTGACACCTAACTGAGCAATTAAAAGATTTCTGTCATCCAGTAGATTGCATATGAAGTAAAACTCTTCTGCTGTTGAAAAGCTGTGTAAAAAAGTTTTAAGAAGTTGTTTGCCTTCTTAGAAGGAACGTGCCAACTCCCTGATTTCTCCTGCGGTCACAGAGTAAAATTGTCTAGATTGTTTATTTACTGAATTTCAAAAGACAGGCTATTACACTGTGAAAAATAGTATTTGTTGTGACTCAACGGATCTACTACTGTTCACTAACCATGATGCATGTCAGCTTGTGCGTTATGATACAGCTAGAGGGCCTCGCAGTTCTTTGCTGCTGCTGTGACTGAGCAGGTAGGAGAACAGGCAGGAATTGCCGAGTCCATCCCAGCTTCCCCAGCAGTTCCCCACATTGCTGCCAGCATGCTCCAAGGCCCCCTGTCACAGCATGTCCTCTGCTGCTTTGTCTCTTTTGGAGCAACAGTACTGCTGCAGAGGCACAGTCAAGTGGAAATGAATGGTAGTAGTAATCGCTGCTTTTGCAGAATGATTTAGCCACTTGCTGTGCATTTCCACACTAATCCTAATCCTCACTTGAACTCTGCTCATAGTCTTAGCTTTCTCTTCTCTTGAAAGCATCTGTGCAGAGCTGCATGTAGGACAGCTCTGGGAACATCTGGAAAGGACGAATGTCTCAAAGCTGAATGCTTGGGCACCCCTGAATTCAATGTCTTGTTCAAGCTCAGGACATAAGTATTTCATGTGGTTGGTGGATCTATGCACAGCAGAGAGAATTGTACAGACACGTTGCAGTTGCTTGCAAATGTTGAGTAAAGCTATGCTCGTTTGGAGGGGTAAGAAATGCGATGACAGAGACTAGGTAGGTGCCATGTTTTGCAGAACATACCTAGTAAAACATCAGAGAGAAACTCCACATCCCCCCCC